TTTGTTGGTAAACGAGTAGCCCAAGAGTTGGCGGTGGGTGGTGATGACTAGCTGCCTTCCCTCTAGTCTTTCACTGCTAAATTAGGGACGGCTAGTACAGATAGCCCTCGTGTAGCTTTGCGCGAAATTAAAAAAAACAAACAAAAACAAAACCACTATCTGTTGGTAAACGAGTATCCCAAGAGTTGGCGGTGGGTGGTGATGACTAGCTGCCTTCCCTCTAGTCTTTCACTGCTAAATTAGGGACGGCTTTACGCAAAATTCTCAACAAACTAAACAATTCTTCCAGGTCGCACACAACGACCAAATACCGATCCAGACAGACAGAACTTTATACGATATTGTTAGTTTGTGTCTATTCCCAAGTTTGAGGCTTGGATTTTTTATGCTAAACAAATTATGCTGTTATCACTATTGTATTTTTATATATATATAATTGTTAACAAGTTTTCAAAATGACTATAAAAATTTCAGCACAGATAACCATGATTTATTGAAGCCTGAAATCATTTGTTTTCTAACACAATTATATAATTCACAAGTTTTTTTATTTTCATAAGGTGTTGGTCCTGTAGCAATAAGTGCATTTGTGTCTTGTTTTTGTATTATCATTGTATTTTCTTCTCGAGCATGCTACGATTCTCTTTACAGTATTTATTTCTATTATATTGTATTACATATTAAACAGTTTTCTCGGATGTAAATTAATGAACAAAAATAAAGTTGAAATTAAACTTTTATGGTCATTTGCCTGCAATGAAAAGGGCCAGTGCGTGTATAGCCACTAGACAGAGAAAAGGTTAAGCCAGTGTATGTTTGGGTTGAAAAATTATTAATTAATATACGAACGGGCACATTTTACATGATGGAGTACATCACCTTAAAAAAAGTTGAACAATTGATAATTAATTCTTATGGTGATTTAATTTTTTGAAACAATTAGTGTCGTGGTTCGTGTAACAATCTAACAATGTGACAAAGGTTATTTTTTGTTTGTTTTTTGTTGTTTTGTACTATTTAAAAATATATCGGTATTTAGAAACATATTTATAAACTTCATAACAAATCTCACTGTTACGTTTTCAAATATTTTAATCAAGCCACTCAAAAAGTTAGTTTTAAATGCGTCTATCCACATATGAGCGTATTCCAACCGCTACAATTAAGTTGTATGTTATTAGATTGTGAAACCAGTTGGTAAAGTTACAACACACCACTACGTTAAAGTTGTTTATTGCCAGATTGTCACACCCAGTTGGTAAAGTTACAACACACCATTACGTTAAAGTTGTTTATTGCCAGATTGTCACACCCAGTTGGTAAAGTTACAACACACCATTACGTTAAAGTTGTTTATTGCCAGATTGTCACACCCAGTTGATAAAGCTAATACACATCCCTACATTAAAGTTATTTATTGGTCTATTGTCACAGCAGTTGATAAAGCTAATACACACCTCTACATTAAACTTGTTTATTGTTCTATTGTCACACAAGTTGATAAAGTTAATACACACCTCTACATTGAAGTTGTTTATTGCTCTATTGTCACACAAGTTGATAAAGCTAATACACACCTCTACATTAAAGTTATTTATTGGTCTATTGTCACACCAGTTGATATAGCTAATACACATCTCTACATTAAAGTTATTTATTGGTCTATTGTCACACAAGTTGATAAAGCTAATACACACCTCTACATTGAAGTTGTTTATTGCTCTATTGTCACACAAGTTGATAAAGCTAATACACACCTCTACATTAAAGTTATTTATTGCTCTATTGTCACACAAGTTGATAAAGCTAATACACACACCTCTACATTAAAGTTATTTATTGCTCTATTGTCACACAAGTTGATAAAGCTAATACACACCTCTACATTAAAGTTATTTATTGCTCTATTGTCACACAAGTTGATAAAGTTAATACATACCTCCACATTGAAGTTGTTTATTGGTCTATTGTCACACCCAGTTGGTAAAGTTACAACACACCATTATATTAAAGTTGTTTATTGCCAGATTGTCACACCCAGTTGATAAAGCTAATACACACCTCTACATTGAAGTTGTTTATTGGTCTATTGTCACACCAGTTGATAAAGTCAACTGGGTGTGACAATAGAGCAATAAACAACTTTAATGTAGAGGTGTGTATTAGCTAAAACTGTTTTACGATCGAGATAGGTGTTAATAAACATTTATAGAGTACTATGAATTTATTTTTTAATCATTATTGTTAGAATGAAAAACTAATTTTGATTTATTTTCATTTATTAGTAACTTATTTAATATTTCTGCTTGTGCAGTTTACATATAACACTGAGAACCAATATTCTTACACAGGAACAATTCAGCAGGTTCTCTGTCACAACCTGCTAACATGAAGAAACCAACTGTTGTAAATTCTTATACTTCACCAGTTTCAAGGGCAACTTTTGGTTTTACTTGTTCCTATAACACATCCACTCAGGCCTATCTACATGTCAACTATAACACCCTAACCTGTCAACATTTGACTTTAACCATATGTCAACTACAACACCCTAGCCTGTCAACATTTGACTTTAACTATATGTCAACTACAACACCCTAGCCTGTCAACACTTGACTTTAACCATATGTCAACTACAACACCATAGCTTGTCAACATTTGACTTTAACCATATGTCAACTACAATATCAACACTGTAGCCTATCAACATTTGACTTTAACCATATGTCAGCTACAATATCAACACCCTAGCCTGTCAACATTTGACTTTAACCACATGTCAACTACAACACCAACACCCTAGCCTGTCAACATTCGACTTTAACCACATGTCAACTACAACACCAACACCCTAGCCTGTCAACATTCGACTTTAACCACATGTCAACTACAACACCAACACCCTAGCCTATCAACATTTGACTTTGACCATATGTCAACTACAACACCAACACCCTAGCCTGTCAACATTTGACTTTAACCACATGTCAACTATAACATTAACACATTTGAATGTAATCACATCAACTACAACATTGACATCCTAATATGTCAATATTTGGCTGTTACCTTTAAGCCACTGCATATGTGGATGACTTATTATATATTATTCTTCAGATTCACTTATAAGGTCTTGAATAACTTAAAGAAGATTAATTGAAGATCCCAAATCAAAAAATAGAAATAGGAACCTTGAAACTATTAACACTAAAAGTGGAAGGAAATGGAAAGTATGCTTAGTAATAGATATAACTTTGGTTTCAAACCTGCACTGAAGGTACTTTTTCATATCAATGTTACAGTGTGTTTAGGAGGTGAAACATATAATGTAGTGTCTGTTTCCAATGCTTTATATTATATATTGCTGTACATAGTAATAAACTTACAAATTAAATAAGGTAATACACAGCAACCAGTTGTATCTTTGAATTTTTACTTTTAATGCCAGAATTTCAGAAAAATGAGTTGATATTTATCAAATGTCTCCTTCTATTTTTGTGGAAAATGGAACAGGCTGTAATCAAAGTCACAGTTTTTTTTTCTGTTTCTCTTTTTTTATTTTAACATAAAGAAACGCAAGATTCCAGAGTCAACACACCAGGAAATTCTCCAATTGTTGTGACTGTTTCAGGAATAGCTGGAACAAGGACTCAGGTAAGTCTTGCTGGAAAACACTATTAATACTGTTTTCTAGAGCTTGGTTTCAGTTCAGTAATATTTATGTAAGTTTTGAAGGAAAAAAAATTACAAACCAGTCTGAAGTTTAGTGTATCAGATACAATGGTAAACAACGAGGAAGGGTAGTGTATGAGATACAATGGTAAACAGCCAGAAAGTGTAGTGTATCATAATACACTGACAAACAGCCAGGAAGGGTAGTGTATCATAATACACTGACAAATAGCCAGGGAGGGTAGTATATCATAACACACTGACAAACAGCCAGAAAGTGTAGTGTATCATAATACACTGACAAACAGCCAGAAAGGGTAGTATATCATAATACACTGACAAACAGCCAGGAAGGGTAGTATATCTTAATACACTGACAAACAGCCAGGAAGGGTAGTATATCATAATGTACTGACAAACAGCCAGAAAGGGTAGTATATCATGATACACTGACAAACAGCCAGGATGGGGAGTATTTCATGTTGTACTGACAAACAGCCAGGGAGGGTAGTATATCATGATACACTGACAAACAGCCAGGAAGGGTAGTATATCATAATACACTGACAAACAGCCAGGAAGGGTAGTATATCATGCTTCACTGACAATCAGCCAGAAAGGGTAGTGTATCATGATAAACTGACAAACAATTAATAGAAATATTTTAATATGGTACATTTTAAAACAAGTCTTGTATGGAACAATACAGCAATAACATGAGGAGAACCGAAATAATCTAGATCATTTAAAACCTATGTATTGTATCATTGTAAAGAACTTGTGGTAGGGTTTTCAGGTTTATAACAATATGTAATTAAAAAAAAAAACCTTAAACTACAATCACTAAAAACCAGTGTGTCGTGACTTTCATGATTTTGTTTTAATTTATTCATTTTTACAAACACCTTCATAAATATTTTGAAGTGCGTACATGCAATTCTACAATATTAATATGTGTGTTTGTTTTTGTATTTCACAGTTATTTATTTGCAGAACTTTCTGGATGTCCTTACCATTTGAATTGAGTCCTAATTCCATAAAAATCATTGAACCAGCATGGGCAGAGAGATCTCATTTTTATAACTAATTCAAACAAAACTTTTTTATTTAATTATATTATAAAAAATGTGTCTATTTGAATGTTATTATACAACTAGTATTATTTTTCCAGCTTGCTACCAATGCTGTCAGCAACTGTGGCTCAAGTGTTATAGATAAGCCATCGTCAAACGTTTTCAGTTTTATCCCAAATAATTTGTGTGTCACATCTTCTCGACCATCAATCACAATGACTGGAGCCACCTTTTCAATACCTGTACATATTACCCAAACTTCAATTTCTTCAATTAGTACACCCTTAACACCAACTTCACAGAGTATCAGTTGGCTAGCTGCTGGACCTTCACTTTCTCAGCCTCTTGCTGTTGTAAACTCCCCTATAAGCTCAGGACAGCTTTTATTTCCATCTACTCCACCTGTACAGATACTGAGTTCTGGATCAGTATCAACCACTGCCACTCTTACTTCTTGTCCATCTATGCCAGTCTTCTCGTCTCAGCATCCAGTCGGAACAGTCACAAAGATTGTTGGAACAACACCATCCTCATGTTCCATGTCAAATAGCAGCTCACTTCCTTCTTGTATGAACCCTTCAGGCAAAGGTACACATGGCTACATCAAAACTATGGTGAGCCCTAAATTAAGCACAGAGATTCGAACCAGTGCTGTATCTCTTGTAGCTGATAGAAAAGTGCTCGCTGAGATACTTCCATCTTCTCTGAAACCTAAAGAACCACTCTTGACAACCAACATATCAACTCTGCCAATAAGTCTTCCTCCTGGTTTGACAGTGGTAGCTCCACCAGCTCTCAGACTGCCATCAGTCTCATTGCCTCTTTTATCTTCGGGAGTTCCTTCTGTACCATTTCTTGCCTCCTGTTCTATGGTTTCTAGTCCTTCTGGAGGATTCATTAAAGTTGTGAAAAATATCCAACCTCCCATTTCGCAAGCACATGTTGAGACTTCTGCTTCTCCTCTTCTGACATTATCTTCCCATCCACTCTGTTCCTCTTTTCCATCCTCTAGCTCTGGAACCCCATCTGTGGCTTCATCTTTAACTTTGAACTCTGCATCAAGTTTAAATTGTGGACCCTCCTCAGTGCTATCTGGGTCAGCAGTGACTCCACTAGTTAATGTAACAAATTCATTGAATGCTAACCAGTCATTCAGTGGTTCCAAGATTGACCCTCATCATCCTGACTTCGATCCTATAAAAGCTATGGACTGGAAAGATGGAATAGCTACTCTCCCTGGCAGTAATATGAAGGTAAAGAATAGTTCTACAGAAATATATTAAAGAATAATCTCTGCTAAGAAAAATAAATAAAACAGCTGTATCTGACTCTTAAGGTGAAAATGCAAATAAGTTTTGATAAAAATGTGATTTTTCAAAGAAACAAACTTATTTGACTAAACAAAAAATCTCAATTTTAATTTACTAAGAATTTACCCCTGTCAACGCAGCTTTAAAATAACTCCAATGATTTGGTAAGAAACAAGAAAATGACTTTGCTGAAAAATTAACCCAGGCTAACTTTCCTAAAAGAGAGATTCAAACTGATTAAGCAGAACAAAGATCCAAACTGGATTTGCTGTGAATAAGATAACTAAAAATAATGCCACTGTGAAGAAACCCCCAAACTTTGTTGAGGAAAGAACCCCAGTGCTTTGGTTAGAAACAGGGTTTAAGTTTGAGCTTTGTTTTGTTTTTTCAATTGAGTTAATATTTATGTAAGATTCAAGTTTACAATGAAAGCTGGAGAGTTTTATTCATTGTTAAAAGAAGAAATAAAACATGACCTTTTATTTTAGAAAACATAATCTATTTTTAAGCAAACGTTTTTGCCATTATGGTTTCATCAGGATTTGCCCTTCTGAAGCCATAATCGCGAAACATTGGCTTAAAAAAAATTATATTTTCTGGAGTAATATGTCGTGGTTTATTTCTCCTTTTAACAATGATTTAATATTTCTTACTATTTTTGTTTTAATATAAGTTTTTTTTAACAGAACTATCTTAATAGGAAAGAAGCCTAAACTGATTTTATTAAGAAAAACATTAAAACTGACTTTGTTAAGAAATAAGGTCAAAGATATTTTTCTAAAGCTTTGATATCAAAACAAGCTTTGATATAAAAGATGCTCATATGAACCGGAAAAGAAAAACTACAAACTCTTACTTTGTTTACAGGCTGCTTTTGAATTGATCTTCACAGTTAATAAACCTAAACATACTTTGCATACTAATTAGCCTAAACTACCCTTGCTAAGAATAGAGCTCAAAGTGATTTTAGTTGAAGTAATCTTAAGATTTTTCCCTAAGAAATAAGTTCATTGTTTTGTTGAAAGTAACATCAAATGGACATTGTTAAGAAGACCAGATTGGCATTTTTTAGAATATATCCTAAACTAACTTTAATAAGAAAAAAATTTGTCATAAAACAGCAGCTTAGATTTATTCTGTTGACAAAAAATTTAAACTGACTTTGCTAAGAAATAAATTCAAACTGACTTTATTGAGATATAAGTCAAAAATAAACAATGATAATACATTTTTAGATATATTTGTGGGATGAAAGATCATGTTAAACTGCCCGAAGTTTGAAAAAAAACATGACAGTTTTACTGTTGTTACTACAAACAATATCATGAAATAGTGTCACTATCAACCATATTTAAGAATAGCATTATTATCAACAATATCAAGATATAGTGTCAGTACCAACAATATTAAATAATAGCATCATTGTTAACAATATCAAGATATAGTGTCAGTACCAACAATTATAAAGAATAGCATCATTGTTAACAATATCAAGATATAATGTCAGTTCCAATAGTATTAAAGAATAGCATTATTATCAACAATATCAAGATATAGTGTCAGTACCAACATTATTAAGATATAGTGTCAGTACCAACCATATTAAAGAATAACATAATTTTTAACAATATCAAGATATAGTGTCAGTTCCAACAGTATTAAAGAATAGAATTATTATCAACAATATCAAGATATAGTGTTAGTACCAACAGTTTTAAAGAATAGCATCATTGTTAACAGTATTAAAATATAGTGCCACAACAGTATTAAGAGACAGTGTCAGTACCAACAATATTAAAGAATAGCATCATTGTTAACAGTATTAAAGAATAGCATTATTATCAACAATATCAAGATATAATGTTAGTACCAACAATATTAAAGAATAACAT